GTGAAGGTCATTCATTTGAACAAACTTTGTAGCCCTTCATCTCAGCATGCTACTGGCCAAATATCATCACCCTGAGCATTTTGGTTATTCAGAAGAAGTTGTTTAAAGTTTTTTTTAAGACAATTGACCCCTGTGACCTTGAATATAATTGAAGGTCATTCATTTGAACAAACTTGGCAGCCCTTCACCCAAGCATGCTACTGGCAAAATAGCATCACCCTGTGCATTTTGGTTATTCAGAAGAAGTTGTTTTAAGTTTTTAACATATTTAACCCCTGTGACCTTGAATATGGGTGAAGTTCATTCATTTGAACAAACTTTGTAGCCCTTCATGTCATCATGCTACTGGCAAGATATCATCACCCTGGGCGTTTTGGTTATTCAGAAGAAGTTGTTTAAAGGTTTTTTAAGACAATTGACCCCCTGTGACCTTGAATATAATTGAAGGTCATTTATTTGAACAAACTTGGTAGCCCTTCACCCAAGCATGCTACTTGCCAAATATCATCTCCCTGGGCAGTTTGGTTATCGAGAAGAAGATGTTTAAAGTTTTTCACATATTTGACCCCTGTGACCTTGAAAATGGCTGAAGGTCATTAATTTTAACAAAATTTGTAGCCCTTCATCCCAGTTCTGGCCAAATATCATCACCCTAGGCCTTTTGGTTATTAAGAAGAAGTCGTTTAAAGTAAAATATTGACGCCGGACGACGGACGACAGCAACGGACGACGGACGACGGACGGACGGACGACGGACGCCGCACCACGGCATAAGCTCACTTGGCACGAAGCTCACTTGGCACTTCGTGTCAGGTGAGCTAAAAACAAAAGTGGAGGAAGGATATATTGACAATTCAGTGGCGTAGCAGGTCATTTTTCGGAGTGTATGCTTACAGGGGGTTGCATAGCACTGAAGGAGTTATTGAAGGAGTTCCCATAGGTGGGGAAAACACAATTCAACGAGGCCCTAGAAACAAACCTCGGAGACTTTTCAATGTGTATTGACATAAAAACACTATTTTAGCAGAGAAACATTTTCAAATATTTGATTTTCCTTTTTTTATGACAGATACGGACGGTCCACATAAATCATAGAGAAAAAAAATATGATTGAAAAAATATCTTTAAATTTTAGTGTATGCTACGCCACTGTAAATGTTAGTAATTTTGTATGGTTATTAATTACATGGAGTAGTGGGAATGTGTGACACATTAGTACAGGTCTGTAAGTCGGATTATAACGACGATGTGCAGACATACTGATAAGACTTGTCATTGAATATCACTGCTCGGGTCATGTTATGTAACATATGCGTTTAGTGTTGAAACACATGTTGAACTAGGTAATTCTATAACATAATACATTAAATACCAAATTTACTCTGTGTATTTGATCAGCTATATGGAACAAAATAATATGACCCCAGCAAGTCCTTTACACGATATCATTTTGGATTTCTATCTCCAAAAACATCTTTAAAATAATCATTATAATTCGTATGAACTTATGCCAATATTAAAGAGATTACGTACACGTTTACGTTACTAAATAGAACAAAGAGGTGTCTCGAATACAACCTGACAACTCTGTATGATAACGAGAATATCATACTTGCATCAGTCGTTGCTGGTTATGGGAAACGAACATGGGGTAGAGGCGGTATGCATCTGATACTGTACGGGGGATATCGATACCGGTATTAACCAGATAGGGTTCACTACAGCGCCGGTTCACCATGTGTTGTGTTAGCAGTGAGCTGATCAGGGCGATACGACCAATAATCTATAATGTTATCCTGGTACGCTTGTCTACTATCTGATGATCGATCTGATCGATTGGTAGATACGAACGTGTGAACCGAACGTAAAACACTAATCCTTAAATACCCATTGACACAAAATGCAGAACTCTTTGCAAACCCAGAAAAAAAACCCAAAACGGAAGCTAGACGCATTTAACCGATTCAGTTCGGGGGAAAGTATTTCCTACAGCTAATACTCACGGGGCCAAAGGTTTTCCTGTTACAGGGTTCCTGAATGAAAACAGCCTGGCCATATCACATGTTCATCGTCCCTCATCCTTGTAAGACACTTAGCCCAAAAGACTTAATCCTAGGAATAAAGAGAGGGTCCCTGTCCCAGACACCCTAGGACGAGAGCTACATAGACATACGGCTCCTTGTGCGGAAGGGTAACGCCAACACCTTATACATTTGTCACAGTGTTAGATGGCGAGTCCCAATCACTAGCCAATACATAGTATCGACAGGTAGAGGAATCAATCAGGGTGTTTATACACTACGTATTGACTGGCAGTGGTAGTGTACATACATAATCCTTCAGTTAATGGATAAAGTCTTCGTCGCCGTTAAATTCGGGAGTAGTGTATTGTACGTGGGTCTACATTTAATACGGCCCATTGAGGGTACTTTATCGCCGGGTGTTCACTGAGCCGGGGATGGCTGGGAGGGGGGCGTGCCCGCGTAACGACTCCACTCACACACAAGACACAATGATATGCTTGTTATTTAAGTCGTAATGGACCAACATAAAGACATGTTAATTGAAACAACTAGTGCTGCCAATTGAACTCAACGAGACGGAATAGAATCCGCTTCTGGCCAGAGACCTTTCAGCCGTGACCATGCTAGGGAAGATGTTTAAATCGTCTCTGTACTTGGGCCAACATTCATGTGAATGTATAATACTTTAATTCCAAAACGTCATTGATAAGTCTACAATAGCCTTTTCAAGGTTATAAATTCCCAACTTCGATTTCTTTCATCTGCAATAATTGGGTATGGAATACTATAATAATTAACTGGATCATGCTCAAGTCAAATTATAACAGTTCAATACACCACAGGACAAACAAAAACACTGCGTGAGAAAAGAACAGTGCCCGTGTAAACATACCCAGGTTTCGTATAAATAAAACTTAAATGAAACTAATGAAACGATAAACAAGAAAATGCACTTAAAAAAGTCATGTAATCAAGTGGAATAGTTCCAAACACATATCTTCAAAACGAGAACGATTCAACCCAAAGATATATACCTATTATATAGAAGTATTAATATCGAAAACAAATCCTGTACAATAGCACACATAACTATAAGGACAGATTACCTGAAATATCAATACCGATAAAAAATGGCAATGGTATGATAGTGGCAATATGGGAAACTGTGAAGTGAAAGGGATAGTGGTGAAATGACTCCAAAACAGAAGGGTTTTTGTATTGTTGTTTTTTTGTTGTTGTTGAAAACAGCAGGAAAGTATATAGTTACCAAAGGAAACAAACACGTATGAAGTAGATGCCATCTTTCTTCTTAATAAGACATCGAATCAAATACCTTGTACATGTGAACGTAGCTTTGCATTAAATTATAGATATTAGCAAGATGCATTTTTTTTATCTGTTTCTGACTTTGTATATATCCACACACGGAACAACAACGTCAATAGAGTACATCTTGTCTTACAAATATAAAATGAAAAAGAAATAAATACAAGTAATGACAAGATCAATGGCTAGTTCTTTAAACTTAACTCATATATTATAACGCCCACTCTACAATGGGGATAAATTATACAAAATAAACTTGAATATCTATATTAAGGGTAGGACGAACCTCTTGATAGCCATCGTTGTTGCACATCAAAGAACACCCTGCAGTAACATCCATGATATGTCTGCTCTTTTACCGGCTCGTCGCCTGGCGTACCATATTGTGAAATGACTGTCGACTAGAACCGTGGAGAAGGTATTATCTCGTCAAATAGTAGAAAGAATACCTTCACATCTGTTCCTGGCAGACAAGCTTTCACGTCCGATACTTTTACGTCTGACAACAGGAGAAGAAGTATTGCGTCCAACGGTGGGAGATGTAATATGACGCGTGACAACGAGAGAATTTTCCCGTCCGACAGGTAGAGTTACTTTCACGTCCGACAGGTAGAGTTACTTTCACGTCCAACAGCAGGTATTGCCTCAACTGGTAGAAGATGTAATATCACGTATGACAACGGGAGCAGACAACCGTTTCACTTTCACGTCAGACACTGGTAGAGGTACTTTCACGTCTGACATCTAGCTGAGAGAAAGTACCCCGTCCACCGAAGGGAGGTATACTGTTAAGTCCGACACTGGTCGACGAGCTTTCACGCCCGGTAGAGGTACGGTACTTTCACGTCTGACAGTTGGAGAGGAAAGTCTCGTGTACCGGTGGGAGCTGAACTATTACGTCTGACACTGGGACATGTACAGGTACACCTTTCTGTTAGCTATGACACCCAGTTGTGTATAGTGACACGGGGAAAGGCTGGAACATAGATATAATTGTCGGCTCGATTTAAAGGTATATCGACACCTTCCACGGCCGATAACTAGTACACTAGGATTCAATTATACGTATACAAATACTTCAAACAGCCCAGACGTTACCCATCAAACTATACAAATACTCCATACTAATCCAGATGTTTTCACTGTTTCAGAAATGACCGTTTGATTTAAAGAGCCCTATACCCGTATCAACATACCTGCGCGAGAGGTTCTCATGTACATTGTACATTATACATGGCTTTTCCTTTTGACAAACACTTTGATTTCGAGAGTGAGCTTTAATTTGTCCGAGACGATTTTTGATGTAATGTTTTTCTGTCACATTAAATTCTTTGGTCTCTCCTTACATATCTAACAGATGTCACCCAGGCCATGGGTAACTATGATATATTTGATAAATCGTTCACACGATCTTGTAATTATCCACGTACTAAGAGGTGCCCAAACCAATGTAAATTGTGTTCATATCGGATAAATATCATATCCGTGACAACATGTTATTCTGTGTCTGGGACTGATGCCATTAATTGTTGACTACTTGAATATTGGGCCAAATTTAAAACTGTATACAATCGCACGAAAACCACTGTGCGGACGCCGCCCCCATGCCGCCGACGCCGACATAGCAACACCTATGCGTCACCAGCTTTTCGCAGGCGACACAAAAATGATCATAACAGAGCAATGCATGCTTTTCTCAGAACGGTACGTAATATTAGGATATAGAATTGGACAAAAATGTATCAAAGCCCAAATACTTCACATGAAAAAATACGGCAGTAAATCTGTTCGAAAAGAACAAACAAGAACCAAGGAGACACCAAAACCAATGGGTAAACAACATGAAACCGTACAAATGAAAGTACATCATTCCAATACTCTCAGAAGAATTAGGTATGCAATATAATATATGAAATAAGTTATTGCAACTTATATTATTCATTCGTTGGCCAGGTTGTTAACGGCGCGCGGGGGTCTTAATGTGGGAGGTAACCGGAGAACCCAGAGAAAACAAAGGTAGCAACGTCAAATATATCACAGACGGACACTGTCGTCTTATGACATTAGCGATGAGCGAATTAGAAACCTTTACAACCAATTAACCAACCAACCGAACATCTGCCATTTACTTATCTCCGGTGTTTTTTCGCAGATGTGGACCAACATGATACGCCATACATGTCTTTTCGTAGACAGACTTGAGTTATTCACGAGTAAGGTTTCTAGTCTCTATAACCCCCATTACTAGGATCTCCGAACATAATGTTTGTGATTTTTATTGCAGAAAAGGAAGATATCATAGTGTATAGACAATAAATCTATGACGACACCGGAAACACTATTCCACCAAAGTGTACAATCAGTGAATTCACACTATCCTTGTCATGGATTTTCTTCGGGATCTGAAAGGATTTTTTTTATGTGAGCCCTTGTCGAGACAAAGACTATAATTGGCACATATTATCGATGTCCTATCGAAGTCTTGTAAGGCAAACATATATTATTGATGTCTTGGACGGTAGGTAAATATTATTGAAAGTAGTGGACAGCAAATCTTTTCTATTAAATCCCTGGTACTGAACATCCATATTTTCTAATGTCTACTCTAGTACAGAAGGTTACAATTGCCAAAAGATATGGCACCCCCAAACCAATGCTCTTCATGTGGGCTTAAACATTTTATTTTTTACAGTTTTTCTTTTCCTGACCTTATTCTTACCAGTGTATGTACATTAGTAAACTGTATTTCATTTTGCAGAAACAGATATTCATATTCAGACAGGTATCTAATTCAGATGTGCTAGCACTGTTTGCCATATGTGATCAGTATAACATAGTAGACATTCCTTCTGTCTGAAGTTGTGTGTACTAAACGTATATGAAATATTTCCACACTTGTTACTAACAAAACCATCCAAACATTACACAAAACAAAACATTTGAAGTTCACATTATTTTTTTATTCCATCAGCAGCTGAAATGTAAGGATGTAACCAGTTTCATGACATTTAACATATATCACAGATTTCCTTCAGTCTGGGGTGGAAGTGAACACTAATGTAATGTCCTTTATCCCACCTGTCACTATTCCGTCACATCAGTCCCATCACCTTGCCCAGGTTTCCAACATGCTACAGGTACTTATCTCTCCTTATCGTGTCTTTCAAAGCGCCAAAAACAATAGCACTTGAACTTCGACATCTTATTTCTGATTTTTCTGGCTTCACATGTTTGGTAAATTCCATGTTGGCTGTCTCTGTTCCCGAAGACATGGTGGATTGTATCCTATCCTGAATGGGACTTAAACGACATCCTGTATCGGAAATCACCACAGGATGGCTTTCCATGTGTCGGGACTTGAAATGGATCCCTTCAGAAATGCAATGTCCCTTGGGTTCAATATTAAAGCCCAAGTGATGTCCATTGGGTTTAATATCAAGGCCTAAAAGATGTTCCATTGGGTTTAATATCAAGGCCTAAAAGATGTTCCATTGGGTTCAATATGAAGGCCTTAAAGATGTTCCATTGGATTCAATATCAAGGCCTTAAAGATGTTCCATTGGGTTCAATATCAAGGCCTAACAGATGTTCCATTGGGTTCAATATCAAGGCCTAAAAGATGTTCCATTGGGTTTAATATCAAGGCCCAAGTGAGTTAGCTCCTCGCCTCAGATATTACAGCAGTACTTATGTACTGTGCAGAAGATCTTGTGGATTATCTCCCTTTGTCTCAGGAATTGTCATTGTACTTGAAGTACTTTGTATAGTCGTCATATAGAACTTTGAACACTTCTTTGACACCTGTTTGTAGAACTGTATGGAGTTGAGAAATACTGAACCTGTCGCACAGGTCCAGTAATTTGTACACCGCAGGGACCAGGGTCTTCTGCAACCAAAATCGACATTCTATTAATGGCAATCCTTACGCTCTCTGCACCCCTGGAATATGCCATGACGAAATTTAAGGCTCTGAACTCCACCTTGTGGATCAGACAAGAAGACTAGTTCAATCTTTTGATGTACATCAAAAGAATCTCGCAATTGCATAACCGTAAAATTGAGCCATTCGTCAGTTTTTTTTTAATTGAGATCAATCAAATAACTATTATCATGCCTGTGATTTTGCTTCGACATATTCCAAGGGTGCAGAGATCGAAACTGACCGTAATCCCCAGAGTGTTGAGGGTGAATTGTGGCAAACATAAACATTATAATGCACAATGATGTAACTATTAGCAGTAAGAGAACATATCATGTCTACTCTTCTTTAATACTATTTATGGAAGTGTATATGATTAAATATAAAATTTGGAAGTGCATATGATTAAATATAAAGTCTTACAACAATTATTATATAATTTGTATTTATCATCCTTGTTGGCCAGGATGCAAGCATGCAGGTGTCTTCATATGGGAAACAGGAGTATCTGAAGACACCTACTGGTCAGGCAGGTGACCTAATTGCTTTTCACACCTGATCGCGGAATGGAACCCAAGCCATCTTGGTGAAAGGCGGGTGTGCTTTTCACTGAGCTATTAATGTTATTGAAGATTTTAAAAAAAATCTGGAAGTATCTGGAGCGAACGAATTTTTACCATTTTTATGTAACTTTTGAATTAAAGAAAATAACATTATTGTATTATGGAAAACAAGTACCATTTGATTCATTTCATAACTTAAAAAAATCTACATTCTAGAGCTGAGGAATTTCATTTTTAACAGTAAGGGTTTAAAATCTGTGTTAGAGTGAGACTGACCTTGATATCAGGGTGGAGAGTGACTTTCTGTACTTCACATACATAGTCTGACACCAGGTAACCCGCCACTTTGTTAAAATCTCGCTTGTGTGTGCTGATCAGCTGACAGAGCCTGCAACATAGCAACAGACATGTACAAAGTATACATATACATGCATATCAAAGGACTACATATCTATCGTCAAGTACAATACATAACCTGGACATGTCTATCTTCAAAGACAATACATATCGTAAGACTACTTATCTATCGTCAAGTACAATACATAACCTGGACATGTCTATCTTCAAAGACAATACATATCGTAAGACTACTTATCTATCGTCAAGTACAATACATAACCTGGACATGTCTATCTTCAAAGACAATACATATCGTAAGACTACTTATCTATCGTCAAGTACAATACATAACCTGGACATGTCTATCTTCAAAGACAATACATATCATAAGACTACTTATCTATCGTCAGGTACAATAAATAGCACCAAACCTTTCATCCAAATAACTTCCTAATTTTCAACACAACATCTTTCAGGTTATTTCACAGAAGCAGACGACAACGATGGCCCATCAACCTGATCCTCTCCACTTTTGTGAAACATGATTAACCTCAGAGAAACAAATAATTGTGTTTCCCTACAGTAAGGGCAATAACTGTATAATAATTATAAAGAACATGTAAATAAGATCAAAGATAATGTAGCTTACCTATCAAAAAGAAGAGCGCAGTCTATCAGCTTGGCTAACACATCCTGGTCCTGACCGATCTTCTCCTGGTCACTACGATTCACTATAACTTTCAGCAGGCGTACAGCAGTTAAGGAGCATATCATTTCCACCTTCTTCACTGTTATTTCCAATTTGACATTCCTTCTTAAAGCTATTCACCCCTAAAATACACTTTTTCCAGTTACTCCCATTATTTTCTTCAAATTTCCCTTCTCGGATATCTTTTCTACACACTTATTCCCAAGATATTTTTTTTGTATATCCTTTCTACACACTTATTCCCAAGATATTTTTTTCAGTTAAGACTTCTTGCATTTGGTAACAATTTCTATACACTTACCAGTCAAACTATACTATAAATAAGGTTGAAGTCACAGACCACATATAATTAACGAAAAGGCATCTAAATAATATCTTCATTGTACAATAAGGGCAAAAATCTGTGACCATATGTAAATTTGATATTCTTCAAATTTCTAGTTAGTAATATTATTTTGTTAATATTGATTGTTTGAACACCCAAATTACAACTGGAAAGGTATAATCTTGCTTTAATCTGTGTCATTAAGGACAGTTACAGTCATACTTCAAAGTCTGTGTCATCTGGTTAAGACAGATATACTGTATATCGGGAAAAAATTTCGCCCAGTCAAATATTTGCCCATCCGTGGTAAAATTGATTTTCGCCCCATCGCCCCATATTAAATTGGCCCTTCACCTCTAATTGCTATATATAGAATATTGTTTACAATTGTTCATTGTGATGAGAAATTCTCCCTCATTATCGAGGGTGAAAAAGGCCAAAATTAAACTGCAGTGAATTTCCTGGTATACAGGAATATAGCACTTTTTCATTTAGTTTAGAATATATATCAATAACAATATCAGAATTCACTACACAAGACCTAGAGATACTACATACTTTCAGCACTCTGGTATCAAAATCCACTCACAACCAGAACAGCGACCATGAAAGACAGAATATGGTTCGACCACCCCGGTGACGAGATCTTTTATTTGTATTCCACAGCAGTGTACAAGGATATGTTTGGTACAGCTGAGGAAGGAGGGGATAACTCCGTAAACGGTGTTCGTGTTGTGAACCAGCAGGGCGTTCAGAACTTTATACACAGCATGGAATGCTGGGACAAAACTGGTGCTGCCATCTAGAGGAGTGAACTGACAACAGTGGAGAGCCAGGGAGGCTGTGTGAGAGGACATCAGTTTCTACAATATAGAACAATATATGATATTAAAGCAGAGAAGTGTGAATGGTTGTCAGTTGGGTGGTAATTGATTCGGATTAATTCACATCACCATGATCTATTTATGTACTGTAACCATATTGATAAGTACATAACTTTAAAAAAATCCATAAATCGTTCACATACTGTTACATTTGCACTCAAATATTTTAAATTTCAAATCAATTTTCTATAGCCCAGACACTTGTTATGTGGTCAATAAATTTAAAGGTACACTGTAATGTTATTGCATGAAATACACAATGACAATGGGGCCTGAATATATAACTCACTGGTCTTCAAAGTAACCTTCAGCAATAACTGTTTTTATCTCATCTTTAATAATTTTTAAAAGTAGATATATACAGTTTCCATTTCACCATATACTTAATCTATTAGTATTTACTCAGTTCATATTTTTAAACTCAATTTACCATATTTTAAGTTTATATACTACCATAAGCTCTGCTCACATAACTTATAAATATATATTACACCTATGAATAAAGCTCTGCTTCAATAAATATGTAAGGGTGAGGGTTTGGGGGGTGGAGCTAGGGGGTCAATACTCACAGACCCGAACTCCAGCATTTTGACTTGTGTGGTCAGTAGAGGGACAGCCACAGAACTGACCAACCTCTCGTCGCCTGAGCCGTGTATGTGCTGCATCAGTGACACACAGTTCAACATCAGCTACAATCAAAGACACAAAATATTTAAAAGACCTGATAAATTAATATTGTGTATCTATGGAGTCCAATATCATACTGATAAAATACAGATCCGGATGTGCTATAGAGTTTCGTATATATCACAGAGCTCCTTCAGAACTCATTTTTGGCTGGAATCTGTTGGCAGTTCCAACAACCAAATTGGTGAATCAAAAGATGAATGAGTTCTCATATTTTGGCCTCCTAACATGACATTAATGTTCCATTTTTGATGCTTCAAAATTTCGGGGAGCAAATTGAATATTAATCTGGGATAATCATCCTACAGAAACCTTAACATGCAGGAGGGAAAAAGTAGTTATCATATAGAAGTAACAGCGTACATGTCAACAAAGATACAGTTGTGGGATCGCACAACGTTACACGATGTGCGGTGTGCGCACGATGTGTGCACGGTGTGTGAACGGTGTGTGCACGATGGGCGAACGATAAAAAGCTGAACGATCATTGCTTGCGCACATATGTGCGCACGATGGACGGACGTTGTGCGATAACAATCGTGGTTGGTGTAAATTGAGGAATGCCTTAACAATTTATACGGTTTCGTGTTTAAACATATAAACTTGATGTTTACGTATGTTTCTATATTCTAGCAACATCTATAAACTTATCTTTCTGTCTATATATTCTTATATTTAGGAATTGTGTTTTCTGTGTTTTTAAACAAACTTAATCGACACATGTAAAATTACAACACAATCCCGTATACAGGTAAACATAACCACTTTGTACATGTACCTGGACCGTAGTTTTCTCCCCGCCTGGGGCATTTACGTAACTCGTCGGGTAAGGCCGGGGGTGTGAAAATCCAGGTGAAGGGGAGCTATAGGCAAACGAATGCAAATAACAAATACTATTCATTACGGTCAAACGGTATCGCATATCAGCTCTGTGTGTCAGGCACTGGTCAGGTAAAACTCCGGACACTCATAAAATTGTTATTTACCTGTTCTGTTACCTTGGAGCCAAACCCATTCTTGACAGCCTAATGGTCGCTGTAATACTGTGTAACACGCATTGTGAAATTGTATAATCTTGATTATTGTGATGAGAAATTACAGATATATACACAGTGTACATTTTCGCATACAAGCCTTCCGTATTTTTGTCATTCCGTAATTTTGATCTACAAATGATACCAAACCGCACAGTTGTGCGGAGAGAAGCGCACAACGGGGCGAACGATTGCTAAATCGCACAGTTGTGCGCACCATGTATGAACGATGTGCGGACGGTGTGTGAACGATGTTTGCACGGTGTGCGCACGCTATTTTTGGTGCGTTGTGCGGTCCCACAACTGTAGCATTTGTTAACTTTAATCTATGGATGTACACATCAACTTTTGTAAATACGTTTTCCACATAATGCTATTCTTGACATCAATTAAAGATATATGTATAGTGTCCTCCTATGCCATTAAAATCTCTATCTTACCTATCAAGATAGAATTAATGTTGTATACCAGGAAATGTACGCTCTTTGACGATAACACCCATTTTTGTCCAATATTAAATTTGACCTTCACATTTAATTTCTATGTGTTATATGTTGTTCAAAAATGTTCGCTGTAATGCCCTTATTATAGAAAGGGCAAAAATTAATGTTAGTGAAGTGTATTTGGAGTTTGGGTTTTTCATAATGCGCCACACAAAGTCAATATAGGACTGACCATTTCTGAAATAATTAATTCATCCACATCCCACTTTTATTATGTTAAATTACATGTAAGCAACTTATAGCCACATTATATGGGTATCAAAACTTACATTTTTCACTGCATGAACTAAGACCTTACTCTGGTCAGGTGAAAGGTCAAAGTTAAGTAGCTGCTGCCAGATGTACAGGGTGGAGGTCAACTGCTGTGTGCCAGCCCCTACAAACTGTATACCCTGTAAGTGGAGCAAGGAGATGTACTGACAAGGACAACACAAACTGTATAGCCTGTAAGTGGAGCGAGGAGATGTACCGACAAGGACAACACAAACTGTATACCCTGTAAGTGGAGCGAGGAGATGTACTGACAAGGACAACACAAACAGTCATGATATCAAACATCAAGATCATATTAAGCACTCTTTTATAGAACTATTTCAAAATATTTATGTTGATACTTTGTCCTTTTTCAGCTAGGAAACATATTCAAATCCGAATCTCTTGGATTTTCCAAGATGGGCTATAAATATGAAGGTTTGGGATAATTGTTAAAAAAGTACAATAGGAGTAACACCTACCGTCTGGTTGAGGAGGCTGTTTATCATAGTCTGGAACTGGTCAGTTTCACAGGAGGGTACTAGAGCAGCCACCGTCTCCTGGAGCTGGGTCAGGATGACCGGTGTCCAGTGGTGCTCAGTCAACTGACCGTTGTACAAAAGTATCCTCTTGTGAACTCTCCAGTCAGGTAAGGATGCCTCAGCAGGTTTAGTTTCCATGGCGACTGTTGTTTTCTGTGAAGCCAGTACCCTTTTGAACAGAGACATGAGTATGTGCCAGACCTGAGCCTTGTGATCTGATGTGAACAGCTCTGTCTGTTTTCCGTGACTACAGCAGATCACAGACAACAGGTTCAGGGCCTCTGACTGGCTTTCTGGGCTCGCATCCTCCTGTACAGAAAACAGAGTCATCATGAATTATCTTGGAAAGTCAATAATATTAATGGAATGAGCTGATTTGGAAATGTACTGACAACATAATTTTAGCAATGCTAAATCTGTATAAACTTTGTACTAATAGTTCTGACACACTGATAAAATTTGGAAGGCAACATGTATGTATAAAATGACGAAACAAAATTGAAAAATAAATTCTAGTTAAAACACAACAGAACATTTTGTGATGACAGAAGTGACAGCTGATCCCTTATTGCTATACATAAAGTGGACATTAATTACCCTGTGATATTTTTTACCCCCAACCCCACCTTCCTACATGGCAACTTCTATACAAGGTTAATTATGTAAAGTTAGTATATCTGTTAAATGACATTGGTGAATTGAAGTCAGATGACAAACACACTACAGTGAACAGTGGACTTTTTTCAGGATCAAAAATATCCTCTTGTTGTTTCTATTTAATTTCATGTGAGATCTATTAAAATTCAATCATTCATGTTAATGTTTAGTACCTTAAAGTAATAATTCTAATCACCACACCAGGTGGAAAACAATTTTATGTCACCTACCTGCTGTAGAACTTCCATCGACCATTTCAACATGATGCCAAAACTGTCCTGAACTGTCCGCTCAACGTCTGTTGCCTCCTCCCCAAAAGAACAGCATTTCAAGGTTGTTGCATAGCAACTGACAGCAGCCAATGGCAGCTGTGAGGGGTCAGCTTTTGCAGAGGTCACAAACTTTATGGTGACCCTGATGAGATGCAACAGACAGGTCTCGCAGATCTCTCTCACACTCGGAGGCAAGAAGGACTTGCTCAGCAACTAGTCAACAGAAAACACATCACAATTATACTGATTATTCCCTAAAATTATCATTTGAAATTTAATATTCTTTTAGAGAAAAGGGGTGGAGGAGAGAAAAGCAATAAATTTTTTTTCAAATCATTTGAATATTTCAAAATTTAAGTTAATGTGACACCATAAAAAATGTCTGATAGCAATTGACAATTTTAACAATAGTTTACCAACTTCCTTGATAACATTTCCAATCCTTGCCATTTTTTTCTTCTTCTAAATTTAGAAGGTTTTTCAATTATATAGTTTTCAAATTGCTTAAGTGCCAAGGAACAGTACTCCTAGCGCTGAATACAATTTATATCCCTGTTGGGGAACACATTTAAGGTTTTTTTGGTCTAAAAGTGGCAGGTTTGTACAGCAAGACACTGCTGAGTAGACTCACTTTTTCTAAATGGCTGAGACAACATGATGCCATGATCATACAGCCATCCATACTTGTAGTGTCGACAATTTTCTTTTTCTGGAAGTCTGCTATTTTTTCTTCCATCTAAAATATAATAAACTCATGTACACTTGTTATTCCAGTTTAAACTAGAACTGTAAGCCAAAGGCTAACAAATACCCCCGCTCCTATATAAACCAGAACTGTAAGCTAAAGGCTTACTAATGCAAAGCAATATAGTCTCCCACCAGTAATGAGTTAATCATTATTTTACATAAAAACAAAAGAATAAAATAACAGAAAAATAAACAAGTATTTCGCACACTGGGGCATAACTCCATCAAAGGTTAAAATCCCAAATTAAAATGCCAGTGTACAACTACATAAGATACAGATCCTTCATGCAAAGTTTCAATGAAATCCACCTGTTAATTAAGGAGGAGTTTTCCGGACAAGTTACTGCGNTATTAAGGAGGAGTTTTCCGAACAAGTTACTGCGGATGACATCCAGACAGACATCCAGATCGGATGATTCCAGTATACCCCCCTAACTTCGTTGCGGGGGTATAGTCAGCTAAAGGTGACACTGATATATGCTCAAACACACTTTAATACCATGCCAGTGTATCAGCTCAATTCAGCTGATCTTAATCAACGATTTGTTATGAACAAAAGCAATTTCAATTGTATTTATTCAGTAGAGATTATATGCAAATTATGGACACAGATACAGTGTACCTGTCAAAGTCGCTATGGCCCGTCCCTTATTATCCCACTGGGGATCAGCACATTCTTGAGTATAAATTCTGATCCTCATCACATATGAAAAATGAAAGTTTGGTCAAGATCTACTAGTGCCTTATTAAGAAAATGTTAATAAAGGTTTGTACAAAGTGGCCCCCTGTATGTACCTTGTTGCTATAGGCGGTAAGTTTGGGGAGAACCCTGTAATCCATAACCACAGTCTTACATGAAACCTCCAGTAAAAGTCTCATCTTCATCTCCAGGGATGTGTAGACCTGTAACACAAACATATGTCTTCAGCAAATCTTCTAAAACAAATTCTCAAAATTATTTGCTGAAACAATTACATTATGTAATTTATTTTTGTATAGTTTTATGTCCATTAATAATTTGTCCTTTTGTGACAAACAACACAATAAAAACAGAAGTTCACATACGGTGAAGATTAATAACTGAATGTAAATACAATCGAAAGAGACACAGAACCTATCACATTATCATTTCACAATTGGTACATCATAAAATTTGTCACATTTTTATAAAGTTGGTGCATTCAATCATAAAACCTTTGACTGTGAAAGGTTAATCACATGCTTGACAATTTGGCTGATCTTTCTTACCAGTTAGAAATTTCTTAAACTTTCTATATTTACTTGAATTTAAAATGGCGTTTCAGTGTTTTTTAAACGACCCAAATCAACAAATGTAAAATTATTACAGTGAGGCAGATGGTCCCATATAAAGGTAAACATAGCCACTTGGTACATGTGTGCAGACCGTAGTTTTCCTCACCCGGAGCACTTGTCGGGCACAGGTCGCCAGGTGAAACTCTGGCCATTTATCAAAATGTCATTTACCTGTTCTGTTACCTGGGTGCCAAACCAATTCTTGACAGTCTAACAGTCACTGTTATACTGTGTAACAAGCATTGTAAAATTGAGCATACTAATATGATGAGAAATTTATATATACAGTGTTCCTTATTCCATACGAGCCTTCTAGATTTTTTTTCATTTTGTAATATTGGTCAACCAATTGTAACAAATCGCACATTTCTGTGGAGAGAAGCGCACAACAGGGTGAATGATGGTTAAATTGCACAATTGTGTGCACCAATCAGCACCATGCTTGGATAATGTGCGGACAGTGTATGCAAGATGTATGCACACTATTTTTGGTTTTGGTGTGTTGTGCAATCACACAACTGTAGTTCTAATATAAAAATATTTTTATTTCTTTGTAGTGGAAATAAAATGCATGATGATTTTACTTTTAATTGTTCCCCTTAACATGATTTAATCAACAGAAAACCACACTTTCAAGCTCCATACTTTTGATAATATCAAGCCAGTCTCCAGTTTATTGACAGTTCCATCATCAACATCAGTGGTTTATTAGCTCACCTGACTCTGGGTATACAGTCCATCCAACCAGTCCATATAGATGACCAGGTCCAGCATCTGAAACAGAGGTGTGTGTCCTGCTTCCATGGTTACCGCCATCAGTCCGTAACATTTTTCTATGACATAGGTATCATCAGTGCCGACGGCTCCACGTAATGTGTGCAGAATGACAGTTAGTCCCAAAATACATCTGTGCTGGTCTGAAGCATTCAGTGATTCAATTGGCAACAGAGACAAAAGCTGTAGAATAAAAAATATGTAATTAATATGTTGCTTTCTTCATTTAACTAAAATTCAAACACAAAAGGACATTCATGCATACACATTTTATGGGATTGATTCTCTAAAGACAACTACAAAATGACCCAGCAGTACTCTTTTGGTAGTAGCCTTTTTGAGACCCTTTTTTCAAACACAAATATCTATCTAAAGTTATCAATGAAAAACCTTGATCACATTTCGAATTAACAGCTGACACTAGTATTATAACAGTTTTTAAAATGTAAGACATGGCTGTATCAATATCCAGTGTTTATTTTGACCAAAGTGACAACAGAAGATGGAAGATTGGCACACAATACACTGGTACTTTGACTTAGGGAGCCCTGTCCTAAAGCACTGTCGTTTTTCCTTTACACAGTAACCTCCCCTTTACTTCCGTTTAGATATAACTGTAGGACATTTGGGCTCGTACACTTCTGTTAGCAAGATATATAGCTCATTTGTTTACAGTGATAGTATAACAACCTGAAGTCCAGGGTTTGAATCCCAGTCTAGCCACGCTGAGTGATTTAATATTTCATCTTTACTCTTTTTCATAAAAATCCTGCAAGGTATGGTTTTCTTTTCAAAAGAGGCTTATCTAGGCTATATAGTCATGCAGGGAAATCATTTCCAATACTTAGTTACAGTTTTTGCCAGTGGTACGGTTATCCTTAAATAACTTACAAATTATATGTTTGAAAAAACCCTCTTCGTGTCCCTTTAAGTAAGTTTTACTTAAATTGAACACCCTGTTTTTGTCCCTTTAGTTAACTTACAACATACATAAGTTGGATACCACGTTCATGTCTCTTTAAGTAACTTACAATATTTATATACTGAATACTTGTTCATGTCCCTTCAAATGATTTGCAATATAAATTGTATTGAACACATTTTACTTCTCATATTTTATAGTCCCAACAATTTTGTCACTGCCACGTTTGAATGCGTGTAACTGTACATAATTTGACAGAGGTTTCAGTTTTGTCGATTTTGAAGATAGCAAGGTGTGTTGTTTCATACTGGACACCAATCCTGCGGTAAACTACCTGTAGCATCCTCCCCACAGCACACACCACTGACGGCGACACAACAAGGCCGCTGTCACTAGTCAGGAGGGCACCCACCCTTGTCGTGATGTCCTGTAGGAACTCCAGCTTAGTGCTGCAAAACACAAGGCAGACCTTAATTATACACAGATGTAGGGAAATATAAATACAAAGTGCAGTGGCGGATCCAAAGTGGATTTCTGTCCTTCAGCAACCTCCCCCAACCCTCACAGGAATATTCTTTCAAAATCATCCATCTTCCCAATTTGGAACACATTTTTCCCTTCCGAATTGGTCTGTTTCCACCACTGCAATTTTGCCTAATTAACCAATCAAATACTACATATATTTTAATAATTTTTAATGAAATATTTAATGGTTTATTAATGGTATTCTGTAATATTTTCCTAATGGACAGTTAATGGCTATTTCCCCAATGGTGATATCTCATTATTACAGTACATCAAAGTTTGATGAGTTTTGCCACTAGTGGTGTTACCTGTCCATTTCCTGTGTCCACACCTGATCTGAGTCCCCTAGATCTCCCAATAACTGGTGTACCACCAACAGATTACCTTTCCTCTTCTTACCACTGAAACATAAACACATAGCTTTACTTCATCCTTTATCAAATATTATTTGTTCCATGTGTTACTTCCCTTGTCCCCAAACCAGTTTCCATTTATATTCTTTACAACTATTTTATGCAACTTCCTACATACAATCTACATGCTCCTGTGACCGCCCCTATAGAGTTTCATTGTTAACTGAACCTGTACTAAGAGACCACTTTAAATATTCCACATTTTAGTGATGTCATTGTTAACGGAACCTGTATAAAGAGACCACTTGTGTTAAGAGACCTATTTTCAACTTCCCAAGAGCAGGTTAGACTGTGCATTGTTTAATCTGTTCATAATTGCAAAACTTTCCCTATTAAAAAATGATGGCAGTACGATAAGGTTTCATTGCATACAAATTGAAACAGCACGGTAAGCAAGGTAAATTAGAATACTAATCATTTCTAAACAACATAATATACATATTAATTAAATGAGATGGACAAATTCAATTTTGGGTGAAAATAGATTTTACTATCAAAGGGCAAAACTTTGATGGGGCGAACATTTCCTGGTAAACAGAAGCAATACGTAACATCAGATAAAAATACAGAATATTTTAAGAGACACTTGTATCAGATACAAACTACGGTGATAACTCTCACTGAACAAATCTGTAAAACTTACACCTTGACATCAGGTTGTAATGCTACGCTGATAGATTTCCATATGGTGGTCAGGATGGATGACTGGATTTCACGATTCTGACTCAACACATGGCCCTCCATGACTCTGTCACCAGTCGACTTCATGCAGATTCTTAAAAGAAAATCTTCTAATCAGGAAAGAAATACTGTACCCCAAAGAAAACTTTTATAAGTTATATTATCTACTGAATTGTTGGAACTATGTAACTATATACATAGTGTATGAAATATATCTTAACCTAACATGTAAAGTGATATATACCTCGTCATAATTAAAGCGACCTGTTTAAATTGGTGGTTGTGTATCCCTCATCCTCGATACTTCAGGGGTTATGCTCACTTACAATCCCTGCACCCCTGGAATATGTCGTAGCAAAATTGAAGGCCATGGCTAGCTATTTAATTGGTCTCGGGTAAAAATAATGTGACCAATCACTAGGATAATACCTGTCCTTTGAAAAGTAAGGAGTAACACATCAAAGGCAGTCAATTTTACCATTATCCTTATGCACGATTCGTTTGATTAACATCAAAGGATCAAAGTAGTCTCCACAAGGTGGTGCAAACTGAGCCTTCTGTTTTGCTATTGACATATTCCAGGGGTGTGGAGAGCGTAAGTGAGCGTAACCCCTGGAGTACTGAGGGTGTGTATCCCTAGACAGATTACAGGGGTGCTGAGACCGTAAGTGAGTGTAACCCCTGGAGTACTGAGGGTGTGTATCCCTAGACAGATTACAGGGGTGCTGAGACCGTAAGTGAGTGTAACCCCTGGAGTACTGAGGGTGTGTATCCCTAGACAGATTACAGAACTGTGGATGCATCCCTACCTTTCACTTGGTACACTGTCGGTCAGATACAGCTGGACTATAAAATCAGCGATGGTCTTCACATGTCTGTCTGCCAGACACTTTGTTATTAAGGGCAAAGACGTCTCCAGCAGACTCCATTTAGCTGTACTGTAGTTCTGTTCATTCACACTGAAGACCTGGAAAAAGGCTTGATTATTTCATGGAAAAAAAACAAAAGCTAAAATGAATTTTGGCTATAGCAAATTACTTCCTAAGTTCTGTAGAGTTTATTATCAGCAAAATACACGTACTTTTTTCTCAACTAAAACTTAATGAGGAACAAATAGGAAAATAGACAGAAATATATATTCTCTCATTACTGGGTGCATATGATAGAACTGTCTGGGGCAAAAAAGAGGTGTAGGAAATTTATATCTTACATCCCATATTTTCGTGTCAGAGTGAAATGAGATAAAATCCCTATTTCATTCTCAGAAATGTAGGATAGAGATAAAAAAAAATACAGAATTTATCTGCTAGTTACAAGGATAAATACACCACTTTTAAAACACGATGAGTTTCATCTCAAACAACAAATAAACTTACTGTTCCATCCCAGGACTGTCCTGAATTGTTTTCTACTGACACTGTGAAGAGACTATCCAGTACTTTGTTCAGCAGAGGAGACAGATCGGGGGAGGACAGAGTCACAGACAGTAGGGTGACCCTCAGTACCTGATGAATCAGCAGGTCCTGTAACACAAACCTAACAGTCTGAATCAAACATATCAAAGTTTACCAGCTTATGTTACATGCAGTAGAACAGGAAGGCTTTGCTTGTTCTTTTGTCACTTTTTCCACATCGATCTCAAAGGTGATTTCAAGAGTTGAAAAAAGTAATACAGTTTATAACATTGTGCTGGTCAGCTTAGTATGTAATGCAGGGCGTACAACAATACAATTTTTTTAAAGGCGCTGATGAGCTTGATTAAAGGGGATGGGCTTCTTACCCAACATCAACCCTTTGCATGGAAAGAAAGGAAAAGTTGGGGATGGGCTTTTTACCAGGCACATTTACTACGACATGCAAGAAAAGGAAGGAAAAGTTGAGTGTAGGCTTTTTACCAAGAACATTTATTACGATATGCAAGAAAAGGAAGGAAAAGTTGGGGGTAGGCTTTTTACCAGGCACATTTATTACGATATGCAAGAAAAGGAAGGAAAAGTTGGGGGTAGGCTTTTTCCAGGCACATTTATTACGATATGCAAGAAAAGAAAGGAAAAGTTGGGGGTAGGCTTTTTACCAGGCACATTTATTACGCTATGCAAGAATAGGAATGAAAAGTTGGGGGTAGGCTTTTTTCCAGGCACATTTATTACGCTATGCAAGAATAGGAATGAAAAGTTAGGGGGTAGGCTCATTACCAGGCATGGGCTTATCACTGGTAAATTACAGTAACAGGTCAATCTTATTCAGAAATATGAAAACATATATCTATTTTGACACATTCAAATTTCAGCACATTATCAAATTTTAATAGATTAGTGCATGATGAATTGGCACAACCACAAGATATGTAACAGGAATATATATATTATACAGAAACTTCATATACCTCATTGCAATCATATTTTAGCACAATGCTTTAAGCACAATTTTTTTTTATGAATTCAGATGTAAAGGTATCTGAGTTATAATCTGAAGCTCAAGGTATTTCTTTAATTCCTATTTTTTTTAAGTTTTTCTAAAAAAAATGACTTTAAGTCACAGGGATGTGAAGCCTTACCCAGCAGTAATTTACATCCATGTGTTTTGATTTGTTAATGGACTTCTGAAGCTTGGTCCACTTTCCAGCTGACCAGTAAGTGTGGAGGATGACCGGACTGACTGAATCCACCTGATGATCGGCGAGGCTGACCTGTTGGAAGGCTGCCTGGTGCTGTGTGTACTGTCCCAGCATCATCTCAAGTTCTCCCCACACACCACACAGGAGGAGGGTCCCCAGGGGCAAGGCAGAGGACTGTGGAAATACATAACATATAGCAACCCAAATATGAGGGTCCCCAGGGGCAAGGCAGAGGACTGTGGAAATACATAATATATAGCAAACCAAATATGAGGGTCCCCAGGGGCAGGGGAGAGGACTTTGGAAATACATAACATATAGCAAACCAAATATGAGGGTCCCCAGGGGCAAGGGAGAGGGCTGTGGAAATACATAATATATAGCAAACCAAATAGGAGGGTCCCCAGGGGCAAGGCAGAGGACTGTGGAAATACATAATATATAGCAAACCAAATGTGAGGGTCCCTAGGGGCAGGGGAGATAACCATGAAAATACATACACTATAGCACACAAAGCAAGACAAGTGACAGCAGGGATGTGTGGATATTTATCTTGATTTCTTTTTCTTTAAAAGTCAATAACTTTATTGTAACCAATCTAAACCAGATTCTGCATCATTGCATTTTGTGTACCTATATAAACCAAACATTATAATCACAGAAAGTTCCACTGTATACAACTTTATGTTTATCTTATATATATGTTCATTTCAAATACAAATATTGGTCTAACAAAAAAAGTTGCTTTAGAAAGTTTACTGTTGTCCAGAATAGAAACATTGGTCCAACAGTGTTGGTTAAGATACGTGAAATGCTGTCTAGTATAATCGTACATTTTTCTTCTCTAAACACAGGTCCAGTGAAGGAACCAGAACATCAGTCGCCATGGTTTTCATCAGTTGGTTGACCTTGGCTGAGGTCAAATCTGTGATGGAGTAGTCGGCTATCCTTACATTCTTCAGATACATCTGTAACAGGTCAGCGATACACACCAGCTGGCCTTCCCTCGCTCCTGTGAACAAATCACAACATACATCAGACACAGCTAAAGATTCAATAAATATAAACTTTGTTTATTTTAACAAAAAGTATTAATCTAGATTATCAAATTAAATTAATCACTCTTGACGGCCCTGATTGTAGCATGCAGGAGGTCTTCATGTGGGAGGAAACTGGAGTACCCAGAGAAAATCAGTATGGCCTGCATGTGACCCATACTTTTTCACATCCGATGGACCGGTGGGGGATATCAAACCCCAGCCATCTTGACGAAAGGTGACTGTGCCATCCACTGCACCATCTGACCACCTATTAGATTTTACTCAAACTCTTTAAGAAAAGACATTTTCTAATGACTTTGAACTCTTTGATTTTAATTCAGCAATAGTTAATGATATTGTTTAACCTTAAATTCTTGAACATATTAAAGCCACATTTTTTTTTTGTAAAAAAAAAATAACCTACGGCACAACTTCAACACTGATCAACTTTAAAGTATTTCTTATTTTCTACGCTTTTCTGACTGTAGACTACCATAGGTGTATATCAAAATAATTGTTAACTTCTTGTCTTGTGTGTCATCCTTTTAAAACTTCAATATTTACATATGTTCGTTTGCATTTTGTGGACCATGTACCAGATCTCAGAATGATTAGAAGGTTGGATCTAATAATCTTTTTTGAAAACAAAGGAAAAATATATTGCGGGCGATAGGTTTACAAAATTGTATTCTTCTTACTCCCTCATTAGAGGTTTACACGGCGAGATACTTCCGTCGCAGTCGGCAAAATCAAATCCCATAGAAATAAGGTTGACCAGCGACCTCTTATGTTATAGGAGTAACTCCCTCCCCAACATATATCTATATCTGAAATATCCTTTAGCTGTATGACAGTTCTTTATCTATGGCCTATCTTACTTCTTTAACTACCTGAGTCTGAAGCCAGCTGTGGTAGGTACTTGTTGGAGATGACCTTGAGAAGGCTCTCCCAGATGTCGACCGTGGCTCCCTGGGGAAGTGACTGCACAACCTCTCCAAACCTACAACGGGTATCAACTGTTACTTATCAGTAAGGGGTATCAACTCTGATTTATCCGTATAATAATAAGGCCACTTTTTTCAAATATTTTAGTAAAATTTGTATCAGTATTAATCTGATGTTGTTATATTTGTCATATCTAAATACAAACAAATACATGTCCTGGTCCCCTTCAGGTAATATAAACATACATACTCTCAATACATAGTTTTAGAATGTCAATAAGTATGTAGATGCCAGGCCTGTACATGACAAATATTCACTAGATCAATCTTAAATAAATTAGTTTAAAACTGCTGAGTGGTTTATACATTCCAACCTGTCATCATATTTTATTTCATTTAAACCTATTTTATTTACAAAGATGTTATATTGTTAAAGGGATTGGGCAACAGGCACAGCCTATATAAGTCGTCTCCATATAAATATCACACAGGTGGCAATAAATGTACATGTTATAACATTACAGTCAAACTTCCCTAAATCGAACTTCTTGATGTGTCAAACTTACGACAAAGTCCAAAACTGTTCCCTTATATACCATTACTAATAATCTTTTCATGTATCAAACTTATATGAGTCAAATTTTTCGCTGCTTCGAAGTAAAATCAAGGCAGATTCATCATAAAAACATTAAAAATTACAGCTATTAAATCGAAGTGACATGTTCACCTGTTCCGAAAAATTTAAAATGTCCCGTGGTCATTTTTAACAGTACAAGCTTCAGAATACAAATTGACAAAGAAATGTTGAATTTGATAAGAAATCAAATATCTATATTTAAAATCAAATGTCTTAGCCTGTGTTTGTCACATATTTAAAGAATCCTCTTTTGTCTTATTTACAGGATCTCGACGTTCAATATTCGTGAGTCGAAGTCCTGATGTTTCAAATTTTTCCAGATGGTCCTGCAAAGTTGGAGACATTGAAGTTTGACGGTATAAGTACCAATTAAAGTAGCCAATTAATTAAGTAGTTAATGAACATTTTGTATCTGAGGTTGATGAACAATTATCTTATATGAGTGATAATCATATTTTGAAATGAATGTTGCAATAAACATATATACATAGATCAGCAGCTCTATCATATCTATATAATATGGAAATATAAACACTCTTTGAATTAAACTTATTACATTTTTACGATGGATAATTCTGGACCAGCCGGATGGCACAGAGTGTAGGCCGCACAGTCCATGGTTACACTTAGACCCAGTACATCTGTCCACTGATCATGACTGGCAGGTTAAACATATCACCATATCAAGACTGTGTCAACACATAGTCTGTCCTGTCATTATCATTACTACGACTGTGTTTAATAAGTAATAACACCGACAGACATCTGACCTTTGAGAGAAGATGGTTGGAAAGCCTGACCAAGCTGTCAGATTTGCCTGTTCCACAGTGACCAACAGCTTCTCTATCCATTTAGGGACCTGGCGTAGCTTGCCATAGGTGGATATGAGGTCTTTAAGAAGCTTGTCAGACGCATCACATTGCTGAAAAATAAGTTAACAGAAATAAGTTCATCTCAGCGTTTTTACAAAGAGTGTCTCTCAGAAAAGATTTATATGGTAAAACACTACATTTTAACCCACATAATGCAATTTCATCAGCAAATGATAGAATACTCATTAAGTCTTTGGAATTATTGGAACTTGTAACAATGGTACATATCACAGGATTCAGCAGACACACGCTGAACATCTCCGTGACATTGACATATGTGACATACCAGTACTTGTGACCTCCCTGTGACCTTGACATGTCACCTACCTGTGACTGATTCAGTAGACACAAACTGAAAACCTCTGTGATCCTTGGTTCTAAGATCATGTGGTTCAGATAAAGCAGCTGTTGGAAACACTCAAACACCTCTGGACATCTGTAAATTAAAGTATACATTTAAATCAAATCTAGAGATAAGGGACTACATTATTTATCAAACATCCTAAGGAACAAGATTCTTCATCAGAGGGAAACTAGTTCCACTTACATACTGGCTATTTGAGTCAGTAACAAGGAAAGGAATTGGATTATTCATTTGAGGGGCAAAACATCCTGTTACAGACTGGCTAGTTGAGTCATTAACAAGGAACTAGATGGTTCATCTCAGACTCAGTGACTCTACTACAGTGACTCTAGTTTCTCTCACAGACTGGCTAGTAGAGTTATTAACAAGGAACTAGATGGTTCACCTCAGTGACTCTAGTTCCCCTTACAGACTGGCTAGTAGAGTTATTAACAAGGAACTAGATGGTTCATCTCAGTGACTCTAGTTCCCCTTACAGACTGGCTAGTAGAGTTATTAACAAGGAACTAGATGGTTCATCGCAGTGACTCTAGTTCCCCTTACAGACTGGCTAGTAGAGTTATTAACAAGGAACTAGATGGTTCATCGCAGTGACTCTAGTTCCCCTTACAGACTGGCTAGTAGAGTTATTAACAAGGAACTAGACGGTTCATCTCAGTGACTCTAGTTTCTCTCACAGACTGGCTAGTAGAGTTATTAACAAGGAACTAGATGGTTCATCTCAGTGACTCTAGTTCCCCTTACAGACTGGCTAGTAGAGTTATTAACAAGGAACTAGATGGTTCATCTCAGTGACTCTAGTTCCCCTTACAGACTGGCTAGTAGAGTTATTAACAAGGAACTAGATGGTTCATCTCAGTGACTCTAGTTCCCCTTACAGACTGGCTAGTAGAGTTATTAACAAGGAACTAGATGGTTCATCTCAGTGACTCTAGTTCCCCTTACAGACTGGCTAGTAGAGTTATTAACAAGGAACTAGATGGTTCATCTCAGTGACTCTAGTTCCCCTTACAGACTGGCTAGTAGAGTTATTAACAAGGAACTAGACGGTTCATCTCAGTGACTCTAGTTTCTCTCGTAGACTGGCTAGTAGAGTTATTAACAAGGAACTAGATGGTTCATCTCAGTGACTCTAGTTCCCCTTACAGACTGGCTAGTAGAGTTATTAACAAGGAACTAGACGGTTCATCTCAGTGACTCTAGTTTCTCTCGTAGACTGGCTAGTAGAGTTATTAACAAGGAACTAGATGGTTCATCTCAGTGACTCTAGTTCCCCTTACAGACTGGCTAGTAGAGTTATTAACAAGGAACTAGATGGTTCATCGCAGTGACTCTAGTTCCCCTTACAGACTGGCTAGTAGAGTTATTAACAAGGAACTAGACGGTTCATCTCAGTGACTCTAGTTTCTCTCGTAGACTGGCTAGTAGAGTTATTAACAAGGAACTAGATGGTTCATCTCAGTGACTCTAGTTCCCCTTACAGACTGGCTAGTAGAGTTATTAACAAGGAACTAGATGGTTCATCGCAGTGACTCTAGTTCCCCTTACAGACTGGCTAGTAGAGTTATTAACAAGGAACTAGACGGTTCATCTCAGTGACTCTAGTTTCTCTCACAGACTGGCTAGTAGAGTTATTAACAAGGAACTAGATGGTTCATCTCAGTGACTCTAGTTCCCCTTATAGACTGGCTAGTAGAGTTATTAACAAGGAACTAGATGGTTCATCTCAGTGACTCTAGTTCCCCTTACAGACTGGCTAGTAGAGTTATTAACAAGGAACTAGACGGTTCATCTCAGTGACTCTAGTTTCTCTCGTAGACTGGCTAGTAGAGTTATTAACAAGGAACTAGATGGTTCATCTCAGTGACTCTAGTTCCCCTTACAGACTGGCTAGTAGAGTTATTAACAAGGAACTAGATGGTTCACTTCAGTGATTCCAGTTTCTCTCACAGACTGGATAGTTGAGCCGGTAACACAAGACAAGACCATACAGCCTGGCTAGTTGAGTCGGTAATACAAAACAAGACCTTACAGACTGGTTAGTTGAGCCGGTAACACAAGACAAGACCATACAGACTGGCTAGTTGAGTTTGTAACACAAGACAAGACCTTACCGACTGGCTGGGTGTCCCTACCTGCTACTCCTCAGTATGATGTCCAGTACAGTCTTGTAGGCCTGTAGTTGTTGTCCACCAGCTGCGTTGTCATTGGCAACATGATAGATATCTGCCTCATGGACCATCCTGAGTAGGCCAGTTATCACTTTTAGTAGTGAGGGTTCCAATGCCTGTTCACAGGGGTCGCTGTCGTCTAGCTTTATACCAATCAGAGAGCAGATATACAGGAAGAGACGGTGGGCTGTGATATTATCCGAGTTACTGCAAAAAGTACAGAAAATCAACATCAGAGAGCTTGCTGGGAAACGGAATGAAATACAAAACTTGCATCATGCAATTGATTCTACTGGCCAGGCCACAGAAAGTGACAGTGACCTTATTTAAGTATGCATTTAACCCTAATCACCTTCAAACTAACCAACAAATTGACTGTTTATATTGAATTTATATGCATGCCATGAGTGCAATTCCTTGGGCAGTGAACTATTGTGATCTATAAATGTTTGAATGTTAAAAAAGCTTCCAGATAGATTAATGTATTTTAAAAGAAACTTTGTGAAAATTACAAGCAAATATGCCTATTTCAGTAAAACGGAATTCTACCCCAACTCCAGCACTCCAAAATATATCACCTTTGTCCATGGATGAATTCAAACTTATCTTCTATGCAAATTATTAATTGGATTTTATGAATGGTACCACTAAACAAAACCTGGAGTCGCTGGGTTTGGGTAGATATTTTATTGGAAAAAGTCTCATATTATTTTCTCAATTTTACAAAATGCTTACCATTTGTGGTGAATAAAGCCATTGAAGAAGTAAGGGAGATAATCCAGAGTGAACAACTTCATATCCTTGTCCGATGTCAGTCTTAGGGAATTCTAAACTCAACAGTAATCAACAGAACTTCAACCAGCATGCATTCTGCTACTGACATATACATATATATAACTTATCTCTTGTTTAAATCACATAGTTAATGGTCAGGTGAATATATTAGAAACAACACATTGTGTAATGGCTAATTAAGTATTTGACAATAGAATCTATGAACATCTTTACACTACAGACACGTATAAAATCATCATGTCCTTACCTTGCCATTGAGTATGCTGGATATTGTGGTGAAGAGGTTTTCTATGGATCTCAGAAAGAATGACATGGACTCGCCTTCTCCACAGACAATACTTAGGTACATATTGAAGCTAACTTGGTGGTCCCTGTAAATACATCAAGTTACTGACATTAAATTTTCATCTACATCTATATAAGAGCATTAAAATCATCTTGATTTAGAATACATACACACCTTTGCCCGCTATAATAATGATTTGATTTGCATCACTCACTGAGATTTCCATTTCATCAACATTATTTGCCTATTACATGAACAGTCAAATCTGTATTGAGACCATGCTTGGGAGTCCAATTAAAAGGTCTCTTAACACAGGTTGTCTTTTAATAGAGGTGGTCGCATCAGCAAGCTTGACTGCTATACGTTAATAAATTACTTAGCGGCCATTTTCACCTTTGGGCCTGATTGACAGGACGTTTGCACTGCTAACTTACTTGTCGAAGATGCCGTTTTGTATGATGTTAATTAGTTCCTTGCCTATCTGCTCTACCTCGGTCGTGTCTGAGCGAGTAGAACCCCACAACATGACAGCCGGGACGAGCAGTTTGGAAGTCACGGCCTGTAGTACCTGTAAACAAGAATACAGACATCAACAAGTGATAAATTTTCTGACCAACTGGTAAAAAATCATGCATTCTGTGAGCAAATGTTACTGATGAACTTGCTTGTTTCTGGTTAGAACATTGTCTTTGTCATCCAAATCTAATTATAAACTCTATTACATTTAAAAGTTAAGTTAATGTTAGTTTCCACTACAGGAGCCAATAGAGCTCCTCTACACTGGACTCAAAAGTTACATTTTAATAATTGTATATTATAAATAATTAAGTTCTTCATTCTGCCAAAGTTTATCTATTATGTTCTTAAAAGTGATGATATTTGGAGCGAACACAACGTTCTCTGGAGGATTGTTCCAGGTTTTAACTGTATGAAATGTGAATAGTTTCTCCTCAGGTATGTTGTTGACTGACAAGGGAACATTTGTGTGCGTTTAATTTCCTCGTGTACTGTTTCTGATGGATTCCTCTCTCCAAAGCTTCTCTATCGTAAATTCTGTTTAGAATTTTGTACATTTCGATCACGTCCCCACGAAGTCTCCTATTTGCTAGTGCTAGTAGGTTTAATCTTTTTAATCTTTCTGGAATAGTTTTCAGCCCTTCATTCCATGTAGATATTTCCTAGCGCTATATGTTGTACGCTTTCTAGTTACTACATATTTTGATATGTACGGGGACCATACTGTTCTTGCATATTCCAACTGTGTCCAAAATGATAACAGTAATCTTGTTGTGAACAAAAGCTACAATTTTTGTTTTCATTTCATTGCCACCGACTGATGAATTCAGCTGCTTCTGGTTATGACGAGCCCTCTATGAGCCATTGAGATAACAGTATATTTACCTGTTTCTGGTTATGACGAGCCCTCTATGAGCCACTGAGATAACAGTATATTTACCTGTTTCTGGTTAGGATGAGCCCTCTATGAGCCACTGAGATAACAGTATATTTACCTGTTTCTGGTTAGGATGAGCCCTCTATGAGCCACTGAGATAACAGTATATTTACCTGTTTCTGGTTAGGATGAGCCCTCTATGAGCCACTGAGATAACAGTATATTTACCTGTTTCTGGTTAGGATGAGCCCTCTATGAGCCACTGAGATAACAGTATATTTACCTGTTTCTGGTTAGGATGAGCCCTCTATGAGCCACTGAGATAACAGTATATTTACCTGTTTCTGGTTAGGATGAGCCCTCTATGAGCCACTGAGATAACAGTATATTTACCTGTTTCTGGTTAGGATGAGCCCTCTATGAGCCGCTGAGATAACAGTATATTTACCTGTTTCTGGTTATGACGAGCCCTCTATGAGCCGCTGAGATAACAGTATATTTACCTGTTTCTGGTTAGGATGAGCCCTCTATGAGCCACTGAGATAACAGTATATTTACCTGTTTCTGGTTAGGATGAGCCCTCTATGAGCCACTGAGATAACAGTATATTTACCTGTTTCTGGTTATGACGAGCCCTCTATGAGCCACTGAGATAACAGTATATTTACCTGTTTCTGGTTATGACGAGCCCTCTATGAGCCACTGAGATAACAGTATATTTACCTGTTTCTGGTTATGACGAGCCCTCTATGAGCCACTGAGATAACAGTATATTTACCTGTTTCTGGTTATGACGAGCCCTCTATGAGCCACTGAGATAACAGTATATTTACCTGTTTCTGGTTATGACGAGCCCTCTATGAGCCACTGAGATAACAGTATATTTACCTGTTTCTGGTTATGACGAGCCCTCTATGAGCCACTGAGATAACAGTATATTTACCTGTTTCTGGTTATGACGAGCCCTCTATGAGCCACTGAGATAACAGTATATTTACCTGTTTCTGGTTAGGATGAGCCCTCTGTGAGCCCTTATAGATGTTGATGACTTTCTTCAGTAGGTCTATCAGCTCTGTGGAAAGCTCGCGACCAGTGGTGACGCGTCTGACTGTGACTTGAACCAGGGCTGATAACAACCCAGCCTGTGACAAATAAGCAAATGATGATGTCAAACAGACACTTTCTCTGCGAAAATTTTCACAAAGCAAATAGTTTGTAGAGTCATAATACCAAAGTTTCCATTGAGTCTTAATACCAAAGTTTCCATTTTAACACGAAATGTAGATATAAATAAAGGTAATGGTAGACCAATACAATTATTGGGCGAGGAGATCCAACGTCCTGTGGGTAGTGGTTGGTCAATGTACCGCTGGAGGAATCCGAGGTGGATACCGAAGTATCTAGTAGAGCTCCACCAAAGGGAGGTTAACACATGTAGGTAAGTGATGGAGCATCAATAACAAGGATTCTGTAAATGTTCGTTTAATTAGTGTATATATTTCGGATGGTTAGGCCAACCGTCGTCAGAACCACTGATTTATATACAAGGAATAAGTTTTGATTTAAATGTGATTGCTTATAAATGCATTAAGAAATGGATACCAACTTACCATATGTTCATACTTAGTGGTGAAAACATAGGACAGGCATTGTGAGTGTATTATGGCGTAGCTACAGCCAATCACAAGCTTTAGAACATCCGAGTCCGAGTTCACCTTAGGGTCGGTCAGGGAGCTAATCAGCACCTGTAACATATAACATGTAGGTTCTAATATAAATAATCATCACTATCAAAACAAAACACTTGTGTTCAAACATGTATTATGACGGAAACAGCCAATAACTGTCATCCAAGTGTACATTAACTTCAGGGTCCTTTGACCATTGAATCCTTCAGTACCTACCACACAATTCAGGTGGGTTTTTTCGTTACTTTGGGGCGGGAACTTTTTGTTTCATTCCAAAACGAAAATTAATAGGAGTAAACTGCACATTTTGGGAGTTAGACATAAATATGAAATAGTTTCATTTGGGAATGGGGCCAAATATGTGTATCTCCCCATAAAGTAAAAAAAAAAATGAAAGTGTATGCATGTTCTAATGTAAACAGGTGAAAGTATTGTGGGAAATCCAGTCCACAAAATTAGGGGATTTACTTTTTTTTGTGGTGGTGGTGGTGGTGGTGTATCAAAATGAAAGTTAGGGAAAAAGTATACAGTATAAGCATTGAACTGTATTTGGTTCAGAGTTATAATCTGAATAGAACACAGTTTAATACTTACCCAGTATAATGTAATATTCAGTGTAATAAACTCACCTGGCATATCGACGGCTTGATGATGATTGTCTTTCCATATTTACTGGGCTGATGTGCCTTCTTTGTGTGTAAAATGTCATATAAGCATTTCAAAACCAACACACTGTCTTCATCAGATACTTTGTTCCTGTATAACAGTACGCTAAATGTTTTATAATTGTTAAGATGTACATGTAAATCAATATGAATGCAAGTTACAGCAATCAAGTACATTTTTTAAGTTGCACTTTAAATGAAGCATTCAAATATACCACGTCCCAAGATCCCGAAACGATCTAAGTCTCAAACTGTTTTTAAGATTTTATTTTATAATCAATCACAAATAAGTTGAAATAACATCATGAAAAGCGATGTCATATGTGATTAGCTCTAAAATATAAGCAAAATCTTAAAAGGCCAGTGGCTTTGTAATAAGAAAGTTACTACTGAGGAAGTTTTTAATAAACTTTTGGGAAGTAGTATTTTCCATTTTGAATGGAAATTAATTGTCAAAAGTGACATTTTAAAAATATTGATAACTCATCATTGTCTTCACCAGGGACGCTTAAATTCAGAGTTAAGGTAATAGAATTGTGTCACCATTTCTCAGTAGAATTTCTTCAAATTTTGTAGTTATATTGCTTTGAAGTAAAGAAAATTTTCTGCCACCAAAAAGTATAGGTTTTCAGAATTTGAAGGATTTTAAATGGAAATTTATGTAAAAAGGAGTGAATTTTGAAGACACAATTTTTTTCCAAAATAATGTGAATAAAAATGATACTGCCATAGATTAGTATTGCATTAATGTATATCAATTTCATAAATGCTGAAATTGTGTAAAATAAATTATCTATAAATGATTAAAAATTGACATATTATAATAAAACCAAATACACATAGTAATTGCATGTAATTAAGAGTTATCTGTCTTGAAAAACTTCACAGTAGTGCAATACAATAGGTAGCCGGTTTCCTGAAGTATAGAAAAATGGACACATGTGACTCATTAATAAAAAACAACTGAATTAATGCCTGGATTGCTTTAAAATACTTAAATATTGAGAGAACACACTGTTCTGTCAATAATAAATATACAATATTCATCAGTTTAATATTAAACATTAGGATATGTGGAAATTGTGATACTGTCTCCCTACATAGGATTTTCAACTAGGGATGTACTTCCTATTTCCATTTATCAAAATTACACTCCTATGACCTTAATCATGAATAGTGGTAACTCCATATTACTTATTTGTTCCTGTTGACCAGCTGGAGTGGAGCCCACATAGAAACCTTGCAACACCTATATATATCATTATTTGTTCCTGTTGACCAGCTGGAGTGGAGCCCACACATAAAAACCTTGCAACACCTATATATATCATTATTTGTTCCTGTTGACCAGCTGGAGTGGATCCCACATAGAAACCTTGCAACACCTATGTCAAAGTCCCCTTACTAGCTTCAGCTTAGACAAACCTTTATATGTAGCTCAATTGTATAGCGTTCCAGAATTAGACCTACTCTACGTTTACACGGCAGATACTTGACAGGCGTTGCAGTTGACAAAAATATATCCAATAGCAAAAAAGGCCAACCAACGGCCTTTTATGATAAAGGAGGTCTATTACATAATTAGGCCTTTCTACTATAAGGTCTGAGGTTGCTTGTAAGAGCCCCAGCAATGGCTCATATTATTTTAGCACTCCTTTCCTTATACTGTACCTATTTATATAACGTACTTACTTTTTCTTGTTGACCAGTAATCCACATAAAAAATCTATTAACACTTGCTCCTTGTTAGGGATGAATGCTCGCTCAGATTTCCAGGCAAACAGGGTCAGCTTCACCTTGTCACGTATGGAACCATCTCGGGCCTTCAGTCGCAGATACAGGCCTACATTGGTTGAACAAGACTTAAGATTGAGCATCGATCATATTATTGATATTTCGGTCAATAGCTAGTATACAGTGATCAGACCTTATAATTAAATACTGGAGCACTTTTCTGATACTGAATGTAGAAACTACAAAATATATTACAGAATTCCAAGGCCAGCACCAGTTAAACAACAGTCCCCATTGAACACAAACATTCTCATAGGTGGTGTTTTTTGTACATGTGTGTTGATGGAAAGATGTGTCCCTGTGGGCTAACTTACACCAAATAGTATAGGTCGTTTTAGTCCGAATTATTCTGACGTTTTATCGACTTTTTTCATATCGGTCTGTCGTCGATTAACGTCAGCACTCCCGCCCTCTATAATATGCGGGAAATATGCGACCCGCGTCCGGAGCGCACTTCAAACTGATATTTTAGAAACAAATCGTCACTTTCACACACATGTCGCACATGGATCGAAAGATCTATTCCTTATGCACAAGATGAACATACATAACATGCCTCAAACAACCAATACAATCACTAAAAACATATTTTTTCAAACTTACTCTGTTTTACTCTAGTTTTTTGATAGCCCCGCCTTCTAATGCCACGTGACTTAAATCTCGCCGGCCTACATCATAACGTTGGGAAATACCTTCAGTAACGCGAGATCTTGTCAAGTCATGTGACATTGCTCATGGCCTAATTTCCATTAAAAACATGGGTTGGTATAGAAAACGTTGGATAAATAAAATACTATTTGTAATGATCTTTGAAACATGTTATTAATACCACCTAGTACATAAAGAATAGATCTTTCGATCCATGTGCGACACGTGTGTGAAAGTGACGATTTGTTTCTAAAATATCAGTTTGAAGTGCGCTCCGGGCGCGGGTCGCATATTTCCCGCATATTATAGAGGGCCGGAGTTCTGACGTTAATCGACGACAGACCGATATGAAAAAAGTAGATAAAACGTCAGAATAATTCGGACTAAGGTCATTTATGAGAATGCGAAACTGAGAATATGATTCAAACATGAACTTTCGAACTCATCGACTTAATCTTTAAACTAATTGTTTTATCTGATCATCGGTAACTGATCAAGTCTAGGTGCAAGTTACACAGTGCCTACCAGTATGGATATTTACCAAAATTGGCCGAATGGTCCGACCATAACATAAGTCAAGAGATTGGTCTCAATTTAGTATTCCTATCATTAATTTGGATAATATATTAATAAAAGATCGGACATCTACATTACAAAGATGTTAATTTTTAATGATTCAAGTATATCAAGGTAATATGTACTGCCAGACTGCAGTACATCAAAATCGTTTCTGTTTATCAACAGTGTTTATGACTTTATCCATCGATTGTGAACTCATAAGTGTAAGTTAAAAATGAACTACATGATGAAGCAGATACAATCTAGACAACCCTAAATCATGTTATGAAATACCATAGCAAGATTGATATAAACTATCAAACACTTTCAAAACATAAATAAACATTTCCACGTGCCTGCATACAGAGCTGCCATCTTCTTTTTCAACACAGGAGAGTTCCGATGCGATTCGTATTGCAGAGTGACATCCCTTCCACCAGAAGATATTATGCATATCCTAATTTCACGTATACGAGTGTATTTTTGTATCCGTAAGCATGTTGTGCGACATAACAAGTAAAACTGCAGTACAGTTACCTTCACTGATGATCATGAGTTACCAGTTTTGTGAAAACATTCCCAAACGAGGTAAGAAAAAAAGTTGAAAATGTTTTGAAACATTTTTTAATAGTAAAATAATTATAATAACTAAATAATTATTATAACAAATAATTCATAAAACACAAACTCAAACATGGGAGGCTAAAGCGAAAATACAATTGGTAATTGCGTTTTTTACTACAGGTCTACGTTCCTGACTGCAGAATTATTTTTAGTTAACACCACGGACTTAGGTATATCTAAGTCCGTGGTTACATCCTTATTTACGTCTCTGATTAAACTTAATGATATTATTGGTTATCAGGTTTTGGCGAAAAACAGTAAATTTTGCTTAATCGCCAACAATACATGTAGTTCTAAACACAAATCAAATGGTAATGTAGTAAAAATACATCACGTTTCTTAAGCTTTAAGGTGAAATGCGGACATAACATCTAAAGAGTTAAACGTAAATATAATGTAAGCTTACCCAAAACCGAAAAAATGAATGCATTTTAAAAGGCTGTATGTTTTGAGGGGACGAGAAGACCTTCATATCGTATATACCCCCTCACAACGTTAACGGGCTATGACATTTGAAGACCAAATAAGCGCGCAGGTTAAACACGCAAATTCATTGTTCGCGCTCATTCGACACACTTTTTGATACTTGAAAAAAACCACTCTTGATATAGTTCATTTAGAATATGCAAACACGACATGAAACCCACAACAAACGAAGCCTACTGATATGTTGGAAATGGTCCAAAGAAGGACAACAAAACAGATTCCGGGATTTAGAGATCTGGCCGGCTTATCTGGAGCGGCTTACAAGACTAAACTTACCTACTTTGAGCTTCAGATGTTCAAGATAACGAGTGGTGCCTTAATCGAAAAGCGTCAGATTTTCCTAAGTTGTAGCATGATTTTCCCGAAAGACATGATATCTTTGGGTTTTTTTATACGGTGGCTGATTTGTGCCATTTCGTTGTTTCGTCTTTTCGCCCCGAAAGGACGACAATGAAAAAACGACACAACGAGAATTAATCTTTGTTATCAATTGTCGTCCTTTCGGAGCGAAAAGACGAAGCAACAAAATGACACAAATCAGCCGCCGTAGTTTGACGTCCTATTGACAGCTATGGTCATTTAGGACGTGCTAGGTTTTGGAGGTTGGAGGAAAGCCGGAGTACCCAGAGAAAATACACCGACCAGCCGGCGACTGCACCACGTAACATGTTAGGCCTCGAACCCGCGACCCAGTGGTGGAGGGCTAGTGGTAGCAGAATGTCAGACGCCTTAACCACTCGGCCACCGCGGCCTCAGTGAAAGACATGGTACCAGGGGGCATTCCAAAAAAAGCTTTATTCACAACATTAAGACATTGAAATAAGGAAGAACTTCATTTCCCTACGAGAAGTAAAACAATAATGGAACAGTCTTCCAGAGGATGTGATATCAGCAACATCAATATGTTAAACAGACTCTATAAACATCACGGGATTGATCAGGAACTGAAATAAAGTTATAAAGATACAACATGCACTTTGTTATTCATATATACGTATGTGTACATGTATTTAAATTTGTTAAACATGTTGGAGCCCGGTGTGAAGGATCATAAATATCCTGCATCGGAAAATAAACTTAACTTAACTGTGACATTCACAAATAAGTTTCTCAGTTCGTACCATTTGTTAAATCCTGTTCGCGCGTTTATATTAGATTACTAAAAAGAGCAACGCACTTGTCACGTGTGTATAAATTGTATTATGGAGAGATTAACTTATCAAACACCTATTTTCGTTTGCAGTATGACAAATCGGACACTTGTATGCCGTCAATCCTGATATAAGCCGACAAAACTCTACGCTATCACCATAAATCAAATATGATGTTCTTGAACGCATTGCCTACCGTTATATTCAAAGAGGATATGCTAAATTAACAATTGAATAGAAGATAGGTTCACTTCGTATTATTTGTACCTATCTGCATTTAAATCCAGGTTTAATTCAATTGCCCTTATCCTTAATTGAATCAGATCTAGACGAGGCAGGGAAGATAGAAAACCAAAATTGGTAAGAAGTCAGAAGGCATCGAAAGGTATATATACTGTCGCATGGCAAAACAATACCGACTATTTGTAATTTACAATAGTCAGACTAAAAAAAAAAGAAAAAAGCACCAAAAAACAAACAAACGTCGAATGCTGATCACAATCGAAAAAAACGGTTTATGTGAAATTGAATATTCTCAAATTCAACTGTTTAAAATAGGCGCAAGATATTTTGAACGGCCAAATGACAATTTGTTTTTAAAAAGAATAAGCAGGAAACATGATTTGTTAACTGTTACAACGTTAACTATGAGGAAAAGAAAAATCTACGAAACATCGTGTGATTTGAAATCAATATCCATCAAGAAAGGACAGCGAGTACACATTGATACGTTACACAGAATGGAGTTTTACTCAGTTTTCTGCTGTATTTGGATTGTACTGCCGTAACATGTTGAGATGACAAACATGATTCATCCACATCAGCAGTTCATCAACACGTGAACGTCTGTCAACAGGGCGAATAGGGTGTTCGGGTGGCGCAGTGGATAGCGCTGTTGTCTTTCAACAAGACGGCCGGGTTCGACTTCCCGTACGGACGTGAAAAGGCATGGCTCACCTGCCTAACCACGTGGTTTAATTTTCTGCGGGTACTCCGGTTTCCTCCCACATCAATACCCCCTTCACGGTTCCATTAAGGCCAGCAAGAGTGATTAATATAAGTTAATAAAAAAACTAGTTTCATATTTTTTTTGTGAAAAGATCTGCTCTTCTGAGGTTTAAATCACGTTCTCGTCTCGCTTTAATCTAGAGTAAAAGGATTTGTACCAAATTATAATCAATTTTAAAAGCAAATATGCAAAAACCTAGTAACATATTGTTTACAGAACGTTTTTTACAAGTTTAAAACGGACCAATTTGTTGAACATATCATGTGAATTTGCTACGCTCCACGCAATGTTTAAATTTCACTTTTTTTACACTGATTAATCACTAAAATTGTCATTGTGTCGCCATTTTTAATTGTAGATTTAGTTTATGTTGTTCAATATAGGGAACACAGTATGTACATGTAACAAAGTGGGAAATTGTACAATGTTGGTATTTTAATACTATTTTATATTAGCTGAAACCTATTTGCTTTTGCAGTGTCCAAATTTCTGACTGTTTTAAGAGTAGACTGTTTCAATCCAGTAAATATTAAGAAAAGTTAGTCATTAGAACTTTTTATATCTATCGTTAAATCTGCAAAAACTTGTGAAAAAAAAATCAAAAATAAGGGGAGGGATAACCTTAACTGCTTTTCTGAGATCAGAATGTAATTTGAAGACTTTTTACTTCCATGATTTAAAAGAAAAAAACCTATTTAAAGATTAATTGTGCAAACATTGATAGATTTCTGTTAGTATATTTGGAAAATATTGCATGCATTTGTTCTGCTTACGATCAAAATGATAAATAACACCTAAAATTACTTACAATGTACATGTATGATGTATTACGTAAAACTTGTATGTTTGACCGACATAGCAAAACGGAAACAAAAACAAGCACACGGACAAACAATTTTCTTTGTATTTTTCTATTTTCTCCTATTCTCCTATTTAAAATAAGGCATAGCTCAAGTTAGTCAGAATACAAATTATGACTTTTCACAAGAGCATATCCTTAAACAGCCAATGGAAGCTCTTTATTTACTATTTTGTAATATCCTCACTTGTTTCGTCATACACCTATAATATGAAGATCATTACCCACATGTAGCATCGATATCATTGTACAGCTAACATGCAGAGGTAAGTGCAGTGCGCCGGCGGAACTATTAAATATTGTACAACTCTCTAGTGACATAATCCAACGTTATATGATCTGTATATCAGCATCATCATTATAGAGATAAAGCTTGCCAGCATTCTCATTACTCAGTTCACGAATAAAACGTTTAAAAAGTAGAAACACGAAACCAGACAAGTAATTGCCGTGAACTTTAAAAAACAGTCCCCATGATGCAGAACAATCGATAGAGAAATGTATCAAACATTGTGCAAAGAAAAAAATCGCTTTTCTCATCAAGTAGACATAAGGGGGTTACAATACTCCATAGCGTTAGCATCCGCTGACGTTATCAGTTATCGCGTGCACATGCGCGTGCAGCGGATCTGCAGATGTGAGATATACGCCCCGATAGAATACCCTTTATATAAATCTGTTCGCTAAAACACACCTTCTCATGAATCAAAGGTATTATTGGCGTAATAGACAACGCCCACGTGAAGATTCATTTGGGCTCTAACTCTGCTATCGGGACACAAGGATATCCACCAAGGTCTCGACTCTTGTAGACGTACCTTGAAACAATGAAGAAGATGGGTGCAGATGCAGGAGGTAGAAGCTGCTGAAACAAAATCATCGGTAACATCAAAGGAATACACTCCTTGCCTTGGATAATGACAATATTGATCCGATTGGCTCGTATTTAGTAGGACTCTTAGACCCGTATAAAGCAGTCCTCATGCGTATTTTTTAGTCGAAACTCTGAAAGTTGTTTAATTGGAGGATTATATCCTTTTCATTGATCTAACTGACCTGATTCCGAAAATTGTAGGTCTGACCTGATCCTGAGGTTTGTAGGTCTGACCTGATATCGAGGGTTGTAGGTCTGACCTGATATTGAGGTTTGTAGGTCTGACCTAATCCCGATGTTTGTAGGTCTGACCTGATCCCGAAGGTTTGTAGGTCTGACCTGATCCTGAGGTTTGTAGGTCTAACTTGATATCGAGAGGTTTAGGTCTGAC